CCCTACTTAGCTCCTCTGAACTGTACAACTGTACAGACCAGTATTAGAAGTCAAGCCAGCCATCTAACACTACCAGTTTGTCAATACAGCAAGAGATGTATATTCTCCTTCCACTTTCATAGGTTTATTTTAAACAAGACACAAACAAATCACAGCTTCAGCTTCTCTACATTATTACAAAACTTATTATCCTAACCTCAAAAACTAGAAAAAGCCACTGTGGTTGGAAATCTCTAACTCTGCAATATATCACTTCTTATTTCAGGTGTGGTGAAAATCTGAGGCATAAGAAGGGAAGCAATGCATTGAACCAGGCCTTTAAGTGTAAGCTACTAGTTTCCTCTTCAATAAATGTAAGTCGCTCATTTATCAAGCAACTTTTCAGTGTCTTCTTCCAAAATAAAGAATTTCACTGGCTTGGGGGAGGGCAAGGTTAATAAGCACCACTGAAAAGGAAATTCTTTTGTGATTTGGGTGCAGTGTGCACAAGTTAATGCAGCATTTCCAAAACAATGTCTCACACAGTCTCAGGAGTGTTCATGAAGGAAGCTATTTTCTCCCCTCAAATTTCCTCATCTGTTATCGTGAGGCGGGATATTACTATTCTTGAAGGCAACTATATTAATTCTCCTACATTTTAGTTACAATGCACATACAACTCACTTTCATCATCAGTTTCCCACTTCCATTCTCCCAGGTCTGCACGAATGCACACCTGAAACATTTTCCTGTTACATAAATATGGTTGGAAAAGCCACAGAAGACAACTGAGGAATAAACCATGCTAAGTCATTTTCTTATACATGAAGTTATTTTAAGTTGCCACAATCAAACTAAGCAGTACTGGTAATATAAAACTGAATGATGGTGCTCAGATGCCCTAATATTAAGTAGTTTAAGGGACAATCTTTGTGATCCATAAGCCTATCATAGAATCAACCAGGCTGGAAAAGACCTCCAAGATCATCAAGTCCAACCGTACCATAGTTACTAGACCATGGCACTAAGTGCCACATCCAGGCTCAACCTCCAGGGATGGTGAATCCAACACCTCCCTGGGCAGCACATTCCAATGCCTGATCACTCTCTCCATAAAAAATCTCTTCCAATTATCCAACCTAACCCTCCCCTGGCAGAGCTTGAGTCTGTGCCCTCTTGTCCTCCTGCTGGTTGCCTGGGAGAAGAGACCAACCCCCATCTGACTCCAACCTCCTGTCAGGGAGTTGTAGAGGGTGATAAGGTCTCCCCTGAGCC